GAGGGGGAGGGGCTGAGTGGGGTGGGACTGAGGGGAGAGTGTCACATTGGAGGGGAAGGGGCCAGTGGACTTGAGGGGAGGGTCATGCTGGAGGGGCTAACTGGAGTTGAAGGGGGCCTCAGGCAAGGGGCTGAAGGGACTGGGGAGAGGAGGGACACATGTGGAGTGCCTAGGGGAGGGAGTGGGGTTAGTGGGGCTGAAGGGGAAGGGCCTGTGAACAAAGAGAGCAGGAGCAGAGGGGATGAGGGAGAAGCCAAGGGGGAGTGTCCTGTGAGCTTAGTGGGCGGGGCCTATGGGGGAGTGGGCGGGGCTTGTGGAAAGACGGGGTGGGGTTAGCTGTAGGAGTGAGGCCTCACTGTGGAAGTGGAGGGAGGGAGAGGAGGATGTAGGGAGGAGTTACCGGGGTGAGGACCATGTGGGAAGGGGAAGGATTATCAGGGAAGGGGTGAAAGTGGGAGGAGCCTTTGTGAAGGGGGAGGAGCTAGCTGCAGGGGAGGGACCTGTGCACTAATGGGAGGAGCTTTATGGAGGAGGCTGGGGGTCAGGGAGGGCGTGCTGGCCGTGCGCTGTTTCTAATCCCCATCTTTCCCCCAACTCCCAGATCCCACGTTCGGCCCCCCAGGAGCGTCCGGCCCGGGTGGCCGAGCGGGAGGCCCTGGCCCTGCAGCAGAAGAACCGCTCGTACCAGCTGCTGGAGGACAGCGAGGAGGAGGAGGGGGATGGGGGGGCTGCCCCGGGCTCCAAGCGCCGGCCCGAGCAGGGGAAGCACAAAAAGCGGCGCAAACACCTGCGCCGGAAGCCGGAGGAGGCGTCGGAGGAAGAGAACGAAGCTGAGCGGGAGCCGTGAGTGTAGCCTCCACGGGATCCCAGGGGGTGGAGCGGGGGGACAGTCCCCGCACTGGGGGTCCCTGGAGCTGGCTAATGCCCTGACTGTGGTCTCTCACCCTTCCCCGGGTGCAGGGAGCCATCCTTGGAGGGGAAAGACTCAGAGGACGAATGGGACCGCAGCGAGCGAGAGCGTCTGCAGGACTTGGAGGAGCGCGACGCCTTCGCTGAACGGGTCAAGCGCAAGGACAAGGAGAAGACCAGGAACATCCTGGAGCGTTCGGACAAGAAGGTCAGAGCCTGTCCCTGCGGCCAGCATCCGTCCCCCACCCCACCCCTTCAGCTGGGTCCCTTCCTGAGCCCTTCCCGTATGTCCTACAACTGGGGTCCCTCTCTAACCCCCTACCTCCCTCTGCCAGGATGCCTCCCTGGGATTCCTGTCTGTTCTGAACGTCCCCCTCCACTGCCACAGTCTTGGGATCCCACCTCGGACCCACCCCACCCGCTGCCAGGATCCTATCCCAGGATTCCACCCCTCCTCCCCCACATTGCTAGGATGCCTTCCTGAGTCCCCGATGCCAGCTGCCTCTCCCGTGTTGTGCTCTTACTGCTGGATTTCTTCCCTGAAGGGGTGATTGTGAACCCCGCAAGCGCTGGAGGGAGCAGAGCCAGAGGGCAGGGATTTGTGGGGAAGAGGAGAAAATTCCAAGTTTATAAGCAAGTTCGGGAGCCCCTCCTGGAAATTCCTGGACCCTTCCCGCTAGGGAGTCTGTCTGCAGCCCGGGCTACTTCATTGGGGGGCCAGCTGGGGTCTGCTTTAGGGGAGGGGAAGGACTGTCTACACAACCTGATCAGTGTCTCTCCCCCCCTCCTGTTGTTGGACGCAGGCCTACGAAGAGGCGCAGAAGCGACTGAAGATGGCAGAAGAAGACAAGAAAACTATGGTGAGAGCTTTGTATTTCTCCTCCCGTATTTCTGTCTCGCCTCCTGGCTGATCGGAGCTGTACAGACCCATCTAGCTCAGTATCCCTCTCTGCTTTCCACCCTAGATCAGATCAGTGGGGTCCATCTAGCCCAGTATCCAGGGCCTAACTCCCTACTGGGGATAGAACCCAGGAGTCCGGACTCCCTGCTCCCCTCCCAGAACTGGGGAATAGAACCCAGGAGTCTTGACTCCAGCTCCCGCTGCTCTAACCTATTAGACCCCACTCCCCTCATAGAGCTGGGGCAAGAACCCAGGGGTCCTGGCTTCCCAGCCACCTGCCCTCAGCCCCTCTCCATCCCCCCCAGATCCCAGAGCTGCGGAAGAAGTCGCGCCGGGAGTACCTGGCCAAGCGGGAGCGGGACAAGCTGGAGGACCTGGAGGCGGAGATTGTGGACGAGGAGCACTTGTTCTCGGAGCTGGAGCTGACGACGGCCGAGCAGCGGGAGCTGGAGTACAAGCGCCGGGTGCGCGACCTGGCCAAGGACTACAAGCGGGCGGGCGAGCAGGAGAAGCTGGAGAAGAGCAGCCGCTACTACATGCCCGAGGAAAGCCGTGGCAAGGTACCCGCCGCAGGGGAGTGGGGGGGAGCTGTGGGAAGGTACCCAACACGGGGGGGCGCTCTCTGAGGGAGAGCATGGCAGGGGAGCACTCTGGGGGAGCTGTGGCAAGGTACCTGCTGTGGGGTTGGGTAAGGCCGGAGGTGGCAGTCTTCCTGGTAGTACCCTGCATAGGGGCCAGTGAAGCATGTGATCTGCAGGGGGTAGCCCTGTAGAAAGATGGGGCAGGTGTCCTTGCCCAGGGGCTGGAGAGATGGAAGGAGGGGGACAACAGGGGCATGGGAGTCCCTGCAGCAGGAGACGGAAGCGTGACCCACTTAAGAACGCCTGCTGGGGGTGAAGGAAGGGGGTTAGGACCCGGCAAGGTGACGGGTCCGTGCCCTATGAGTGTTCCCTGGGGTGGTCCCCTTGTTAGGAGGAAGGAGGGTTGGCATTAGCAGCATGGCTGGCTGGGCCAGCATCATACTGGGGTGGGGAACATCTCCCCCTTGGGGCTGGTTGTACTGAACTGTGGGGGGTCCCCCCCCGGGGAAGGGCCAGTTTCGGGCTGGCGAAAGGGGCAGGATTGTGGTGGGGACTCAAATCTGGAGCCCCTGCAGCTTGGGCTGTGACCTCTCCTGCCCTGCCGTCTCCCCTGCTCCAGTCTTGGGGTGACCCCTGAAGGCTGACCTGCAGCCCACACGCAGCCGGGGTTGATGTCAGACTTTCCCCAGAGCTGGGCTGTCCCTGGCCCTGCCCCCGCGGCGTCCCCTGTGCCGTGACTCAACCCCCGCCCCCCCCTTCCCTGGCAGAAGATCCCCGACCGCTATGAGGAGCCGGTGGCGGACGAGCGCGCCACGCCGCGGGATGAGCAGCGGCGCTGGGAGGAGGATCACATTGGGGCGGCTGCCCTGCGCTTCGGGGCCCGCGACGCCGGCCAGCGCCACCCCGGCAAGGACTACGAGTTTGTGCTGGAGGAGGACGAGATGATCCACTTCGTCAGCGCTGTGCATATGCAGGGCACAGCCCAGGGCAAGGTGAGAAATGGGGGCTGGGTCCTTCCCCTGTAGGGGGCGCCAGCTCTGATCCGGCCCTAGGGCAGGGGACTGGCTGGCTCGGGGGGTGGGGAATGGGACATGGGGCCTCTAGGGGGCATCAGCTCCAATCCAGCCCAGCTGGGGGGATTGGCTGGCTTGGGGGTGGGGCATAGGATGATCATTCCCATCTAGATGTAATAAGTCACCAGGTCTCAGCCCAGCCCCCAGCAGGGCAGCCATCCCATTCCCAAAGCCCTTCCCTCCACCCATTGTCCGAGCAAGGGAGGCTGAGAGCTAAACAGGCCATGGTGCCGAGCTCCCCTCTGCCCCCTAGAGGGGGATCCCTGCTGGGGCAGCGCTGAGGAGGCCCACGGGCAGAGGACGCTGTATGGGGTGAGCAAAAAGGGAACAGTCCCCATTGGGTGAAATGATGGCCTTCCCAGCCCCCCCTCTCACCCCAACCTGCGTCTCCTGGTCCTCTCTGGCACCGGGAGAACCGAGAACTCTATGGGTTTGACTCCCGTCTGGAGATCCAGCGGCTGTCCCCCCAGCCTGGGTGGAGGGACGGGTGGCTGAACTGATGATGTCCCATCCCCCTGCTCAGGAGGAGAAGTCGGAGCTGTCAGAGGTGGCGCGGAGGAAGCTGTCCATGCAGGAGGTGCGGCGCAGCCTGCCCGTCTACCCCTACCGCCAGGACCTGCTGGCGGCCATCGCCGAGCACCAGATCCTCATCATCGAGGGGGAGACGGGCTCCGGAAAGACCACGCAGATCCCCCAGTACCTGTACGAGGAGGTAACGGCGTGGCAGGATGGGGCTGGGAGGGGAGGGGGGACTCTTCTCTCCTAGTTAGTGCTGACCCCAGTGCTAGGGGGCGCCGTGCTGCAGGGAGCAGGCTGGGAGGCTCAGTAGGGGGCGCTGTTTCCCTACGATCAGTGCTGGCTGCAATGCAGTGGGGTGGCACTAGGTGGCATTGTGCCGCAGGGAGTGGGGTGGGAAGTCCAGCAGGGGGTATTCTCCCCTCACAGTCAGTGCTGACCCCAGCTGCACCCCCTACCCAGAGGTGGCTGCATCTCCGCACTGGGCGAGCGATCCCTGTGCAGCGTGACGGTGAGGCTGTTATCAGGCTGCCCCACCCTAGAAAAAGCTGCATTTCTGCTCTGGCAGCTGCTCCCGGGGAATTTCCATCCAGTCCCTGGATTGTCTCGTTTCCTTTGTTAGGGCTACACGGAGAAGGGGATGAAGATTGGCTGCACCCAACCCAGACGAGTGGCGGCCATGAGCGTCGCGGCCAGAGTCTCTCAGGAAATGGGAGTTAAGCTTGGTAACGAGGTATGTGACTGGTGGGTTCGTTATCCCCTTCCCCGCTTGCCTGAACCAGAAGCAGCCCCCTTAGAAAGGACAGGCCCCATGTCCTTTCTCCCACCCCCTTGGCTAGCCAGTCCCCTTGCCCTGGGCCTGGATCAGAGCCAGTGCCCCCTAGATGGGAAAGGTCCCGTGTCCCAGTCCTCACTCCCCTGAGCCAACTAGTCCCCCTGCCCTCAGACCAGCTGGGAGCTAATGCCCCATGGAGGGAAAAGGCCCTTGTCGCTTTCCTTGTGACAAAATTAACTGGGTCCATTCCTGTGCCCCCTCCACCCCCACCCACCAGAGATGTGGGAGGTCTCCTTGTTTCTCTTCGGCTCCCCCGTGTGGTCAAAGCCGGGCCTCCACTGGAGCTGACTGCAGGCAGAAGCAGCTCACTGAAAAACAGTGCCCCGAGCGGGACCGTGGAGCGCTCTCATTGGCCGACGGGTGCCAGCCACGCTGCGTTCGTATTGGCCGGTGGTTTTGTGGTAGCTCGGGCTAATCCCTCCTGCCTGGCAGGTGGGCTACAGCATCCGCTTTGAGGACTGCACGTCGGAGCGCACGCTGCTCAAGTACATGACGGACGGCATGCTGCTGCGGGAGTTCCTGACCGAGCCCGACCTCTCCAGCTACAGGTGAGCCTCACTGGGGGGCGGCACGGGGCAGGGCTGGGACGCTGTCCCCCGGCAGTCAGTACTGGCACCAATACCCCAATGTGGCGCTAGGGGGCGCTGTGCTGCAGGGGGCGGGGCTGGGATGCTCTCCCCCGGCAGTCAGTACTGGCACCAATACCCCAATGTGGCTCTAGAGGGTGCTGTGTTGCAGGGAGCAGGGCCGTTCCTGACACACTCACACACATACCCTCTCCCCCTCGCGCAGCGTGATCATCATAGACGAGGCCCATGAGCGCACCCTCCACACCGACATCCTGTTCGGCCTGATCAAGGACATCGCCCGGTTCCGCCCGGCGCTCAAGGTGCTGATTGCCAGCGCCACACTGGACACCGAGCGCTTCTCCACCTTCTTCGACGACGCACCCATCTTCCGCATCCCCGGGCGCCGCTTCCCTGTGGACATCTTCTACACCAAGGTCTGGGGAGGGAAGATGGGGGGGACGGGGGCAGAATGGGGGGCAGCATGGCGTGATCGCTGGCCGTGGGAAGGTGTGGGGTGTTTTTGCAGGATCGTTGTGGGTGGAGGGGTTCTGGGGAAGAATAGAGAAGATTGTGGCCAGGATGGGGAGGTATGGGGGGGGGGGGGAGTATTGTGGGGAGGGGAAGCATGACCTAGCGGGGAGGCGTGGCCAGGAGGGGGCAGTGTGGAGGGGACCCGGGTGGAGGGGTGGTGTGGGGAGAGTATTTTTTTTGGGGGGAGGAGGGGAAGCATGACCCAAGAGAAGGCATGGGGTTCCAGGGGGTGGAGGGGAGGAGGTGTGGCTAGGATGGGGCAGCATGACCAGGAGGAGGTGGGTCGGAAACTTGACGTGGCCAGCAGGGGGTGACATGGAGAGATCTGTGAGAGCAGGGTGTGGGGCATACATGAGACAGGGAGCCAGGGGGCCGAGCAAGTCCGAGAGGAGGGCTCCAGGGGTCGGTTGGAGGGTGAACAGGGTGGGGCCTGGGAAGCAGCATCTGAACGTTGAGGGAGGGGGGCGAGAAAGGCTCCAGTCACGCCGTGGGGCAGGGAGTGGCGGCTGACCCCGGTCTTACCCCTCTCTAGGCCCCCGAGGCCGATTACCTGGAGGCCTGCGTGGTGTCGGTGCTGCAGATCCACGTCACCCAGGCGCCCGGCGACATCCTGGTCTTCCTCACTGGCCAGGTAAGTGCCTGACCCCGCCCCCTACAGGGCCTGGCCACACCCCCTGCAGTGTTTGACCCTCACCCCACCTTTGGCTCTGCCCCCTGCAGGAGGAGATTGAGGCCTGCTGCGAGATGCTGCAGGAACGCTGCCGCCGCCTGGGCTCCAAGATCCCCGAGTTGCTGGTGCTGCCCATCTATGCCAACCTGCCCTCTGACATGCAGGCCAAGATCTTCGAGCCCACCCCACCCGGGGCCCGGAAGGTGAGGGGTGGGGTGGGGTGGAGCTTGGGGGTGTCGGGATGCAGGAGAGGTGCTTAAACCTCTGGGGCGGGACTTCGGGGGGATAGATGGGCTTGGGCGTGGCCTATGGGGAGGGGTTTGAGCTCTGGGGCATAGCTTCAGGAGTAGCTGATTTAGTGAGCTGGGAGCATGGCTTTTGGGGTAGATGGGCTTGTGGGAGGAGCTTAGAGGTCTGGGGGTGTGGTTTTGTGGGTAGATTGCAGAGGATGGGATTTAGCTTTCTGGGGGCGTGACTTCAAGGATAGCTCAGTTTATGGGAGGGGCTTTGTGGGCATGGCTACATGGGGTAGATGGCTGAGTGGGCAGGGCTTACAGCTCCGGAGGTGTGGCTTCAGGGGTAGGTGGCTGGGGAAGGGATGGGATGAAAGAGAAGTTTGTATGTGTGGTTGGGGCAGCAAGTGAGGAGTTTTTGAAGGGGCGGGACTATGAAGAGGAGGAGCTGTGGAGGGGGCGGTGCTCAGGTGCATACACTCCTCCCCCACAGTCCCTGCTCAGCAGCTGTGACTGACTGAGGACCAGGGGACCAGCCAGGCCACCGCACGGGGGACCCCAGGGTGTCTCCTGTGGGCCAGGGCTGGCTGACTCCTTCCCCTCCACCAGCTGATGAGGTGTCTCCCCGCCCTTCGCAGGTCGTCGTGGCGACTAACATCGCAGAGACCTCGCTGACTATTGATGGGATCATCTACGTCATCGACCCGGGGTTCTGCAAGCAAAAGAGCTACAACGCCCGCACCGGCATGGAGTCCCTGATCGTCACACCCTGCTCCCGGGTATGGGACCCACTGCCCTCGGGGTACAGCGCCCGCCCCAACCACCCCCCTTGGGGTACAGCGCCCGCCCCA